TAGCCCGAGAAAGAGGAGTGTAAAAATTGTGTTTCAATTTTATTTTTTGCCTAATAACTTATTCATTCCGAAGTGTTTGAGAACAAATGAGCACTCGTTAGGAAGAGGAGCCACGTCGATCCAAAATCCACCTGAATCTTCCGAACTACCTGAAATGTAAAAAAAAAAAACTCGAATTTTCACATTCCCCGTTCGACGCCTCTTCACCGTGAGCAAATGCGCTCCACCGTCAGGAGGCCAAAGGGACTTACGTAGCAATAAATATTGATGGTAAACACTGTCTCTACACAAGTGTTACATACAAGGGGGGGGGGTCGTATCAAATCACCCATGAAGGGGGGGTCGTAAAAAATTTCCAAAGAGTAACAACGATAGGGTTGACCCTGCCTCGACCATGCGCCCTGCTTGCAGGGCGCTTGTAACAATTATTGAACATCAGTGTGAGGCTCCAAAAATTTATTTCAAAAGCTTCAAAAGGGCTTGGCGTCGTCGTTAGACCTGAAATATACTTCTTGCAGAAGTCGGACAACACACTTGATATTTTGAACCACCTCACATGCTCTTAGTATTGTGCTGTCCCGGAGCCTCATCAGGGCCTAACTGTCATATAACACAGAGAAGCACCAAAACTATTCAAAAGAATTCCAAAAGTTCACAAAAATTCCAAATATTCGAAAAAACCCAGAAAATTACAAAAACTAAGAAAAAAATTCAAAGAAGAATCCTTTGGAGTCCTCTGCGATATTTCGGTGTTTAACACTTTCGTCAGGCCTGAAAACATTTATTATAGCTGTTAAAGTAATTTAGTGTTTTACCGAACCCACATATATGCCCACGTGTACCCACGTGTCACCGAGTATTGGATTGTCTCATAATTCCTGTCTCATTTCTATTCAATTCAAATTTCTTCCGTCTAAGACCGTTTCATTGCGAAATACGTTAGTATGTTGAAGTATGCTTCAAGAGCCTTAACAGCGTGGTTTCGGAAGCGCAAGCCCGTAACGGGTTAATCAACTAGGAATAAAAATAGGTCAGTGACTATAATGAATGATTATGCTTTACGATCCTCAAATGAACTCTGTAGCAAGGAGGACAACAGAGAAGATCAGCGCTGTGTTTGACTCCCAGTCTCTGCTACTGATAGGGTACTGAGCTAGTGGTCCAATCGCAACGGCAAAGACGAAACGAGCTATGAACTTCAACCTCATACTGGGCCTGCGGTCATTTTTGATGAGCGCCCCTTGCACCCTAAATTGGGAGTGCCTCCGACGTTGCTACCAGGGTATTGTAGCAGATACCTGAGCGCAGCCGATGCACCAGCACACGCCATCAGTATGGCAAGGACTGCTGCAGAATGAAGTTTTGATGGAAACCTTATGGTCCGGCCGACCATGAGCGGGAAGCACGCCTGACCATCTGGGGAAAATCCATTCTGGGACGGCAAAAGCAGAGCCTTCCCTGATCGGTCACCAGTGGAGATGAGTCATGAGTCCACTGCAACAACAAGCGGCACTTCTTGGGGAACCACTTCACTGCATGAAGACAAGCATTGCTAAAGTCAGCGCGGAATAGCCCTCTAGGCTGGCTTCGGGGTTGCGAGGGAATCGTCAGAAACGTCTCAGATCTCCTTTCTCCGAATGTACGCCAGACCTCACATTGCAATGCCAACTCACCACGTTCTGAGGGAGATAGCCAGGGCCACGATACCTCATCCACCATATAGCATTGGCATCGCTCTATCGGACTATCGCCTCCCCTGCGCCCTGAATAAGCATCTGCCAGAGAAGAAAAGTTAAAGATTGCGACCACCCCAAAAACGACTTCTCCAAATTCTTCAACCCCCAGCTTCCTTCATTCTGGGCTGGAAGCTTCCAAACGCTCACTAGCAAATGCACGCATATCAGTGACCATGATGGTGGTTATGCTATTGATCAGTTGTTTCCTAGAAGAGATAAAACTTGAATAAACAAAAGTGTCAAATTGAGACAGGAATTATGAGACAACCCCAATATTAAGCTACCCTTACGGGAACCGCGCCGTGTCACTTCTCGTTCTCCATCTAATTCCCACACGTACCCATCCTGACGCTGCTTCCTTACCCACTTCGCTTGTTAGGTGGACATACCCGTTACGCGGAGCGAAAGTCCTCCAGAAGACATTTTCCTTTGAGTGGCGAGCATCGACTAATTCTCTTCATCCCGCTTTACATTCGCCAACCTTCGCTCCGTAATGTGCCAGGGAGCACTTCCTCAGCTCTGTGACAGAGTAGGGATCCTTCCCATACGACAAAGGAATAGGTGCACACTTCATTATCAAGAAAATGAAAGATTCTCCTGAATACGACCAAACAACGTTGAAGGAGATTTTTTGAGCACAACCGAGATATTAAGCACGGCAATACCAAGAATACGTATAGATATGAGTTCATTTTCAGTCAAATTATTCATAATTTGTACAGCAATCAGATTTGAGCTTAAAGGCATGAGGACTTAAGTGCAAAACAGCGGCAAAAGTTTCTATTTTTTCCTTCAGAAGGGTGCTCTTCACTAACTCGGCATCCGAACGCTTCGAGCATGATTCCTGTGTTTTGAATCTTCAGTCTCGCTTGCTTTCCAGCTGTTGACCTATGATCACAGATGAAGGGATGTATCGGCGTCGGTAATGAGTAGGTCAATAGCGTCAATCAATGTTGCTGAACCGTCATGGTCATTGGGCGTGCAGATAGGCAGCCTTCTTTTTATACGACGATTCTCAAAAGAAAAACGACTCAAGGAAGTGTCCATCAAAGGAAAAAAGAGGTGGATCCCAGACCGTATCGGTACTGGCAACGATTTGCACGCTCCAAGCCCCACTCCAGAAGTTCCCACCCTAGCTAGAAAGGCTAGGTACGCAACTGCAGAGGTCGCACCACCTCCACATCGAAACATTTCATGTGAACTATGTAGTTCAATTTCAGAATTTGGTTCTAGCTTTCAGGTTTGTCTGCTTCCTGATCAGCTTTTTCTCAACTGCTATTCTTTGTATATCTGGTTTCTGTTTCTTTACCAGCTATTTTTTGTTGGCTTTGTGATCTTCAAGGCGTTGATGGAGTATTGAGTAAGGATTCATATCGA